GTAATCAGCAAAAAGTTACTATAAGAAAGTTTTCAAAAAAAATCCAAAACATAACAAATAATTACTCTAAACACTCACTGGTTTTCGGCATTTTATTAGTAGATCGTTTTATCACATGACCGCATAATTTTGCAAAGAGCGATAATCTAACATGAAAAAATTTTTTTACGAAATTTTTTATAAATGCACCCCTTTATAAATGCACCCTATTGCTAATTCCCCGAAGGGTGCATTTATAGAGGGACGACTGTACTCGTTACACGCGATGAGTGTTTTTTCATCGTGTCAATGCTATGGATGCCTGAAGGTGAACAGCCATTACGAAAAAAGGGACAAGGACGATCTTTGCATGTAAGCAAATCTTTGACGGATGTTCGTGGACGTTTAAAGTTGGAGGTATTTTAAATTAGCTTTTAAAATTTAACCATTATTATACTGTTTATTTCATAATTGTTTATTATTACAAGGCAAGTTCATCAAATTTCCTAAAGAGATGTGTAATTATGACTTCGGGTACCAATGGTGATGGACGAGTGAGGATCTTATAAAACAAGTACAAGAAAAAGTGATACCTATTTTTGAAGAACGGTTTCCGGGAACAATTGGAGTCTTTGCTTTTGATGATGCAACTAGCCATGCAGCTTTTGCACCTGATGCTTTAGTAGCTAAAAGAATGAATTTAGGACCAAAGCGCAAGCAACCGAAAATAAGGTGGGTTTAGAATATAATTGTTTCGCAAATCTGATAGATAAATAATGGATAATTCAACGATTAAGAGACAAATGGTAAGACTTTTATTATTATTTTTATCTTTTTTTATTATTATTTTTTATTAATACTTTTTTTTTTTTGTTTAATGGATGAACGTATGGATAAATAACCGGATGAATAATAGATGAACAAATGGGACGAATAAACAAGACAAAAGAAAAATGACTAAATGAATGAATTGCCAAGACGAACTAATCGAATTTAGGATGGATAATGGAATAATGGATAATTAGAATAAACGGGCGAATTAATTAATTCACGTAAGGATAAAAAAATGGACGAAACGAACAAGCCAAATCACGGATGAATTGATTAATGGACAGAAGACCCAACAGGAAATGAGCAATTACGATGGGCTAACTAGAAATTTTTTTTTTTTCTTAGATCCACAACTTTTGGAAACAGAATCAAATAAGATATGATTTTTCCCATGGATTACCTGACGTTTCGCTTCGAGGAGAGCCGAAAGGATTGCGAATTATATTATTTGAACGTGAATTATGGAGAGAAGGTCTTCATTTAAAATGTAATAAAAACGGATGTGAACCAGGTGCTACGAATTGTTGCGCAGTTACGATTATGGCTAACGAACCTGATTTTTTGAAGCAAAAATGTTAGAAGTGATTACTGCAATGGGGCATAAAGTGATTTTTTACCTTAAGTTCCATTGCGAACTTAATTATATTGAGAATTTTTGGGGTGCTGCTAAACAGTATACTCGTGCAAATTGTGATTACACTTGGAAAGAGTTACAAGAAACTGTTCCGAAAGGGCTAGATTCAGTGTCTTTACCAACTATCCGACGTTTTGCCAGGAAAGCCTTTCGTTTTATGGATATATATCGTAAAGGTTTGACTGGAAGAGCTGCTGAGCATGCAGTTAAAAAGTATTAATCACATAGAAGGGTTCAAACTCAGTATTTCATGATATTGCATGTATTAATAATTGATATAAATTTTTTTTTTTTTTTTAAAAAAAAAAAAGTGTTTCGTTTTTATGCAAATATAATAAAATATAAATAATATAATTAGTTTATTCTCGTTGCCACATGAATTCTATATTTGGTCGTCACGTGATTTATCCGAAAACAAGGGCATGTGATTGAATTTACTATAAAAAATGAAATGATTCAAACTATCTATTTTTTCTCGGCCATTTTCTTTTTATATTCGGCCATTAATTCTTCTTGAATATAAGGCATGACAGGTTGATGAGTCTTGTATTCCATAGAGAATTCTCCTTTACCCTATTTGTTTTCGATTATCCCAAAAAATGCAAAAAAAAAGAAATTAATTATATTAGTAAAAAAAAAATTAATATACAAAACGTTTAATATAATTACCTGTGTAAGACTTCTTAAATCTGATGAATATCCAAACATATTATTCAAAGAAACTTCCGCATTTGCCACAAAAAGATCATCTTGAACTTCAGTGTTTACAATGGTACCTTTTCGTTTATTCAAGTTTCCTATTACTGCTCCTTGAAATTCAAGTGGTGCCATGATAGATACATTCATTATAGGTTCTAAAATTACAGGTTTTGCCCTAAGAAATGCTTCCCTGAATGCATATAGTGCGGCAAGACGAAATGCAAGTTCGGAAGAATCTACAGCATGATATGTACCATCTTCCAGAACAAACCGAACATTCTTTACGGGATGACCAATTAAAGTTCCTTTTCCCAATCCATCTAAGAAACCCTGATAAATGAATATGAAAAATTAATAACATAAAAAAAATAATATTCAATTGCTATATTCAATTTGTCTCACTTTTTCAACAGCTGGAATATAATTGGAAGGAATATGTCCACCAACAACTCGACTTTCAAAAATTGGAAGTGGTTCCTCATCCTCTTCCACAATCAGTGGTTCAATATATCCAATAACTTTACCATATTGACCTGCACCACCTGTTTGTTTCTTATGTGTATATTCAAATTTCGCCTTAGACATTATAGTCTCACGGAAAGCAACTTGTGGTTTTCCAGTAACACAATCGACATTATACTCTCTTCGCATACGTTCAACATAAATGTCTAAATGTAATTCACCCATTCCTGATATAATAGTTTCTTTACTTTCGACATCATAAGAAACTCGAAACGTAGGATCTTCCTTCTGAAATTTACCTAAAGCTTTTGAAAAATTGGTAGTATCTTTAACCTTTGGTGAAAGTGACAATGATATCACAGAATCTGGTACAAACATGGATGTCTAAAAGAATGTTTAAAAAATGGTCAATTATGAAGATTAGAATAATCTTTCTTAAACAAATAAAATATTTTATGATAGCAAAAAATATATATATATACCATTGAATAACTTAGAACTCCATCAGTAAATGTATCCCCAGAAGAACAATCTACACCAAACAAAGCACAAATTTCTCCAGCACCAACTTCTTCAACATCCTAATTTTACAATTTATTGATAATATTATAAAATATTCTAATTTTATAAATTTCATAGTTAATTAAATGAAACGGCATAATGATATTAATCTCACCTCCATTTCATTGGAATGCATACGAACGAGCCTTGGAACTTTAACTTTTTTTAAGGTTCTTGAATTAATTACAAACGAACCTCTTTTCAGAGCACCCTGATAAACTCTGATATAAGTTAATTGACCATATTTTCCATCTTCCAATTTAAACGCCAAACCAACAAAAGGATTTTTAGAATATGGGAGGAGATCAACTTTTGCCTCTTTTTGATTTAAATCAAGTGCAGTATTATGAACTTCGGAAGGGTTAGGTAAGAATGCACAAACGGCATCAAGAACTTTCTGAACACCGGTATTCTTAAATGCTGAACCCATAAGAACTGGGGAAAATTTGTTTGCAACGGTTGAACGACGTACGGCATCCTAAATCTCAACATCATTATAATAATAATGTTAGGAAACTTTTGGTTTAAAGCATATATACTTAATTATTATTAAACGATTTATTTGATAAGAATTAAAAAACCTACGTTTACGCACCATTAATTGTTGAGAAGTGGGAGTACCTTCCGATAAAAATATATCGGCAATTTGATCATCCACATCAGCTAAATTTTCAATTAATTCTTGACGTTTTTCGGAGGCTAATTTAATTAATCCTTCCGGAATTTCTTTTTCTATTACCTTAACACTATAATCGATGTTATAATATTGATATTTGTCCATTCAGTGCTTAATAATTAAGCAGCAAAAAAAAAAAATTAAGTTTTGCAATTTATTTATTATAATTTTTACCCGCGGTTGCCTTCATTATAATAGGCCTTCCATTTAATTAAATCAACAACACCTTTAAGATTATCTTCAAGACCAATTGGAATTTGTACAGCGGCAGCTGTAATTTTTAGTTTTTGTCTGATTTGTTCAATGATTGAAAAAGGGTTCGCACCAACACTAAGATATTAAAGTAATACAATAAAAGGATAAAGATAATGAAATTGTAGCGAGTTTAAACATTTTAAAAAAATTATAAATTTTATAAATTACCGATCCAACTTGTTAATAAAAGATATACGAGGAACGTTATAGCGACGCATTTGACGATCCACGGTGATAGTTTGGCTCTATTCAAATGAAAAAAAAAAATAGTAAATAAAAATATTGAATTTGAATGTTGATTAACGTGTTTTTATTAAAATATAAAAATACCTGAACTCCAGAAACTCCACATAATACTAAAACAGCACCATCCAAAACTCTAAGAGCGCGTTCTACTTCAATAGTGAAGTCCACGTGCCCTTTTCAAATATATATGAAAGAATATTGTATCCAATTGTCAATATAATTTTCGCTATCTAAAAAAAAAATAGGAAAGAAATAAGAAAACGAACGTTTTCAACTAACCTGGTGTATCAATGATATTGATATTATAATTTCCGTGAGATTCCCAATTCCAATTACAATACGTAGCTGCAGATTGAATTGTAATCCCTCGTTCACGTTCTAATTCCATGCTATCCATTTTAGCGCCTTCTCCATCTTTACCACGAACTTCGTGAATTGCTCTAATAATAATATAAAAAAAAAAGTGTAAAAATTATGGTTGATGATATATGAAAATACGTTTATAAAATAAATAATAATATTGACTTTATTCTTCCGGTATAATAAAGAACTCTTTCGGTAAGTGTTGTTTTTCCGGAATCAATATGGGCGCTTATACCAATGTTACGAAGTTGTCGCAGACGAGACTACAACAAAAATTCATAATTTATATAATTTATAAAAAAAAATAAAGGAACGAATTATCAATTGAAGAATTTGAAGAATTTGAAGAATTTAATGATAAAAAAAAAATCAGGGTTTTTTAACGAATTTTATTATAACCTACTAAATCCGCAGGGTCAATAGTTTCAACATTATCGGCAGTTACATTAGCAAATAGCCTAAAACCAAAAGAATTGCTCCGCGAATTATGAAAATTGTATGTTGTCTTTGAAGTTCTTGATAATGGAAGTAACGAAAAACAAGGCTTATAAACCTTCAAATAAGAATTAAGACGGTTCATTATTTATTATTTTATTATATAAATATAAAATATAATTATAATAAAACTATTTTAATATTTAAAAAAAAGATCAGATAACCAACAATATTTTTTTGATGTAGAATTTTTTTTTTTTTTTCGAAAAATTTTTTTGATAAGATTATCATCTTTTTTACTAAAAATTCACGTGCAAATTCGAACTAAATCAAAAGAGATGTCGGTTTATCGAGTTAGTAATTTTGATTCTTCTTTCACAAATTTTTTTAATACCTACCTAAAAAATTATTTGCCTTATACTGTTTTCAAATGTGTTCTCCGCATTGTGTCCCAATAGGATATAATTTTTGTGTAAAATGGTCACTGTTTTGCTCAGATGCTGTAGAGTAGCATATACAAGCATTTCTATTAATAATGGCAATTTTCGCGAGCGAAACACCTCACAAATTCTTGTTGCCAGCTTAACAAGGAATTGGAATAAAAAGTTCAATTTTTTTCATAGTTATCCTTGTTACTTTTACTCATCGAATAAACCATCTAAAAAAGTTGGGGGTTTAAAACAACATTATAATAATTATAATAGTAACAAGAATAGTAAGACGCTGGTATCAATGAGTGAGGTTTATGAAAGACGTTTCTATTCATATGTTAAAGAAAATATGATGGAGGATGCAATTTCGATATACATTCAAGGGTTATTGAATGGTATAAAATTTAATCGACATTTCCATTTGATTGTTCGAAAGATTCTTAGCGATGTTCGAGACCCTTATCTATCATTAAAATTTTATAATGATTTATTAAATGCAAAAATAAAATTTGGAAATTCCATAGATGGGACTGCCGCAAAAATAGATAATGCATTGAAAAAGTTTTCTCCTTATACGGTGAATCTCGCGTATCAAACTTTAAAGAAGAATTCAAAAATACATAATTTGATTTATCGCGAAGTAGTGGATAAATTATCCACAGAATTTAGATTAGTTCAACATGCATTAAGATGTTATTATGACATGAGATTAGAAGAATATAGTCCTGATCTATGGACGTATAATAGACTTTTAAACTGTATATGTAGATCAGATGATTATGATACCGCATGGAAAATAATTGAAGAGATGATTCAAGCAGGTGTAAAACCTGATATTGTTACTTGTAATATTCTTTTGAATTATCAAATTATACGTAAAAGATGGGATCAAGTTGTTAATATTCTGGATATGATCGTGAATGCTAGATTACTTCCATCAAAAAGTACCATTAATACTTTGATGAATAATAAATTTTTCAATCGTTTAAAAGTCGAAGAAACTCAAGATTTTGCAAAAGTGGTAATTCAAAGAATGTCACATTTTCAACAATTGGAATGGTTCGCTAAGCGTGGTGATAAAATAAATTTGATAAAAGTTTATGAGAAGATGATCAACAGTGGAATGAATATGGAACTTCGTACATTTGAAATTATCATTCAATACTATTTTTCAAGTGGTAATGGGAGAAATGTTATAAGGATTTATAAAGAGATCATCAGATTAGGAATAAAACCAAATTTAAATTTTTATAATGTTTTAATCGAAGGATTTGTAAAAATGGAAGACATGAACACTGCGAAAAGTTTATATCATTACATGTTATCAAAATCGATAATAGGAAATATTGATACTTATAGTCATTTATTATTGGGTTACTCGAGAATTTCTAATCTTCAAGAAATTGATAATTTGCTTAAGGACATGATTTTATTTAAAATTGATCAAAATATTTTTACAATTTCTATATTATTAAATTTATTTATTAAGTTAAAAAATGTTTCTATAGCGCGTCAAGTTTATGACAAATTATTTAAGGTAAAGTACTTGAAACCTGATGCATTTATTGTGAATTGCCTCGTTCATGGATATACATATGTCTCGAAGAATTTAACCGAAGCCACGGAATTCTTATTGTGTCAACAACGAAAAGTACAACTTAGAGCTCCAACATTTAATATTATAATAAGAGCATACGTCTTTCAAGATGATATGGATTCAGCAATAAATTTAATGAAGAAAATGGAACCATTATGTGGTGTTGAACCTAACAGTTGGACATTTTATTACTTGATCACGGGATACATTCGTCGCGAACAATTTGATAAAGCATTGGAATTACTTAATGAAATGTCTAATAGAGAAATGAAATTAAATAACAAATTGATCAAGATATTAAGAAAAATAAGACATAAATTATCTTTCATCCTTAACAATAATAATAATAAAAATAATAATAAAAATAATAAAAATAAAAATAAAAATAATAATAATAATAATAATAATAAATAATAATAATAAATATAATAATAATAATAAATGGGGATAGACAAAATAGAAATAGATAGAATTGAAAATAAATTGTATTTTAGAAATTTTATTTAATTTATTTAATTTTATTTAATTTATTTAATATTAAATTATCTAAATTATTTAAATTATTTTTAATTATTGTAATAATGACTAATAACTTATATATATTTAATCAGATCAAAGTTATCGTTCTTTCATTTCCGTGTCATTTCCGTTTCATTTATGTATCATTTTGTTCCATTCTATGTCATTCGGCAAAGTGCAATAACGTGATTCGTTCCACATGCGACTTCTTCGACAATTACTTCATGAGGAAATGTAACTTTCATAGGTACAAATTGATTCTTGGTATGTTTAAGTCCTAACCTTCCAGATGAATTTCCACATCCCCATGTAAATAAATCTCCGGATGCTTTATAATAATAATATATAATAATACAATATATCATATTACAACGGGAGTTCATAAAAATGGCAATATCAAGAAATGAGAAGATTTTAAAATCAAAATACTTGAAATTGCCGCGATATAATCCGTTCCGCAATAAACCTTTTTAACATTATTCAAAGTTGGTATACGCGTCGGTTTCAATTTTTCAATCACATTATCACCAAATCCCAATGCACCGTAACCGCAAACGTAAACATCACCTGAATCTAAAAAAAAAAAACATAAATTAAATTAAAATTTTAATGAATAATAAAATAGCAAGATTTCAATTTACTTTATTTTCGAATCTATTCTATTAATAATAATATTATTATTATTATCAGATTTTTTATTATTTTGAAAAGTTCGTTTCTCGTTCATTTGTTTAATCAGATGGCCCCTGAACTTTTTAATCATCATTTATATAGAAATTGTAAAAATTGAAATTTTCGAATTCAAATAATAAATCAAAAACCTACCAGTCACATATGCACTAAAAGTTCCACCGGCTCCAATGTCTATTATTTTATGTTCTATTGAAATTTTTGTAGGTTCTAATATCTTTTATTTTTATTTTTTTTTAATTAATTATTTTTTAATTAAAGATCCATTTAAACGAGACTAATAAACAATAGTAAATAATAATAAGAAATTAATTTTTTTTTTTACCCTGTCAATTTTTTCGCCTGTCATGCATTGTCCATATTCAGAATTTCCCCAAGCCCATAATTCACCATTATCTATATAATAATAACAATAATTTCAATTCCAATTTTAAAATAATCGAAATAATTAAAAACAATTAACAAACGATTAATTTTCATATCATATTTCAAAAAATGATCGTACCCAATAAAGCCAAAGTAAAATCTACAGAAGATGTGATTTTACGAATAGATGAATTATGGAATTTCGGAATTAAAGAGGGAATCGATCGATCTGAAGTATTCCCTTTACCTAACCCAAGTTGACCATCAGCACCCCATCCCATTGAGTAAAGATTATTATTTTCTAATTATTAAAAAATCATTAAAATCATTAAAATTGTAATTATTAAAAAGAAAGAAATAAATAAAATTAAATAAAATAAAATTATTATGATTTTGATTTTTTTTTTTTTTTTACCCATTAATAAAATAGTGTGATCAAATCCACAAGCTAATTGGGTGACATTTTCTTTGATACTATCGACAAGTTGTGGTGTAGGAAAACATATAAATTTTGGATTCTCGTCATTAATCAACACTTGTTTACCGAATCCCAATTGCCCATGTATCGAATTTCCAAATCCATATAGATCTCTTTTCTCTTTTATATTATTGTTATTGATATTATTATTTTTGATATTAATATTATTATTGATAATTATTTCTTAAAATCCATTGAATTGGCAAAAAAAAAAAAATTTATAAAGGCAAATTATTTCTTTCTCATCAAATTATCATCTACACACACACACATATATATACAAATCCGGACACACGCACCATTATTGTTCCCCTTTGATAACAAAATAAATGAATGAAGTCGACCACAACTTAAAGAATGAACTTTAAAATTTGGTGGTAATCCTTCTTCAATTTGTCCATAGTTAAAATAATTATCATTAATTGTACAATGTCCTTAATTTATTAATAATTTAATTTTTATTGAAAGATTAATATAATAATTTATATAATAATATAATTTTATTGAGATAAATAAAATATGATCCTTCTATATTTATTTTATATATATATCTCTCTCATAGAAAAAAAAAATTAGAATTATATGTAGATTATATTTACCTAATTGCCCAGAAGAATTTAATCCCAATGAAAATACTTTAGTAGTTTCTTTAAATTTAAAAGCTATAAGTGAATGAGCCCATCCACTAGCGATATGAGTGATTTCAATGTCCTTTAAAATGAAAATATTCACGGGATTAGTCACAGGATGAATTACGGATATGTCACAAGATTAGTCACAGGATTAATCACAAGATTAAATTTTCTAATTAATTTAAGAATTTATTCTCACCTCACGTCCACTGAGTTGTTGTTCTCCTCCTCCTCTTCCTCCACCTCCGCTTCTTGTTTTCACAAGATCCGTAAAATTTAATAATTGCGGAGAAGTCGTAGTTTCAAAAGGAGTCTTTTGAGTATTCACTGATGAACCTACTGAACCCCAATAAAACAATTTTTGTTTTTTATGATTAATTGAGGAGGAAGAAAATTTTCGATGATTTAAAATTGATTTAATAATAATTAAATTAATCTTATTATTATTTATTTTATTATTATTAAAAATTTTAGTTATCATAAAACGCGTCATTTCGATGAGAATAAATATCTGACTGACAGATAATAAATTTATGTAATATTTATGTTTGTTGATAAAATTTTTTGATAATGATAATCTCGAGATTAAAAAATTAAAGTTATAACTATTAAATTACTAAATAAAGTTATTCGTAATTTACATCCCAATTGTTTACTTGTTTTACTCATGAAACAATAAATAACTTTGTAAATATTGTATAATACGCGATCTTGTCAATATATTATTTTCGCATTTTTTTTTTCGTGTATTCCATTTTTTTTTTTATCATAATATATATATATACATCCATATTTAAACATGTTTAACTTTCTTAACTTCTTAACTTTGAAGCAGTAACAATAATAATAATAATAAATCAATAACAATAACCACAATAACCAAATAATAATTATATAGAATAATGAGTAACAACGAAGAAAGAAAAATAAGAATCGTTTTACCTCCCATTTCATGTTTACCAGAAGTTCCTCCTTCTCCTCCTTCTCCTTCTTGTTCTTCTCCTTCTTCTTTTTCTTCTTCTTCTCCTTATACCGTAGTAAATAGTAATAACTATCATAATTATAATAACAACCTTTTTAATTTTCAATTTCCTTCAAATATTTCTTCTAATCTGAATATTGATACTTTATCACCAAATAATAATAATAATAATAATAATAATAATAATAATAATAATAATAATAATAATAATAATAATCGTTATCATCATCATCAAACCCCTTTACGACAATTTCGAAACAACAACCAGAACGATAATTATAACAATAACAATAACATTAATAATAACTTCATTTTACCTGGACTACCATTGTTACCTTTGCAAGATCGTACCAATGTGTATAATACACCTTACTGGCCAGGATATTATAATAATAATTTTCATTTTTCTACTCCTCCTCATAGCAACAACAATAATAATTCTTCATTATTATGGTTCAGGAGTGACGATAATGATAATTATAGCGATGATGAAGATGATGACGAAGAGGAAGAAGAAGAATATTCTTTTCATTCTCATCACCTTTCTTATCTCCATCAACAAAGCATTAGACCAATGATCCCATTAACAACATTTTTACCTAATTATAATACACAATTACCTTCATTAAATACCATAGTAAATAATAATACATTAGGTGAATCTTCTCTTAACAATAATAACAACAACATCAACAACAACAACAACGACAACAGTAACAACATTAATGACAATAATGACAATAATGAAAATAATTTTAATTCAAATAAATTTCCCGAGAATATTGTTGAATTATCTAAAGGTGATAAGAATGATGATAATAATAAATTAGGGGAGAAAATACTTCATAAAAGTGTAGGTCACCAAGATGAAGAAAATATGGGTAAGAATTTATGTAATTAGATATTTTGAATTTATTATTATTATTATTATTATTATTATTATTATTATTATTATTAGTTTTTTATTGATTACATTATTGTTTGTCTTCTCCTTATTAGAAAAATTAGAAGTCGAAATTAAAGATGAGGAAGATAATTTTCGTCAACATCAGAGTGAGAATCCGAGTGATAATAATAATAAAGATAATAATAATAACGATGGTATTAATACCGATAATAATAATAAAGATAATAGTAATAACGATAATATTAATAACGATAATAATGATAATGAGAATAATAATAAAAAGAAAGGACGTCTAAATTGGAGTAAGAAAGAAACCAAATCATTAATTTATGCAATAAAACCAAGATGGAATGATTTATCATCATCTCAACGTAATTCTGTAAAATCTCGGATTTGGTCTGAAATGTTTTCTGATCATAATAAAAGGTTTTCAGGAAGAACCTTAAAAGCTTTTAAATTAAGGTAATTATTATTATTATTATTATTATTATTATTTTCTTTAATTTCATCTTTATTTCATCTTTGATTAAATTATATAATTAATGATAATGATAATATAAACAATTTATTTATTTATCATCATCATCATCATTTATTTCAAAGATGGGCTAGATTGGTATCAGATTTTAATTCTGTAGAAGATAGTTTAATGTTAGGTAAAGAACCTATCGATTTTGATTTTTATGATGAAATTAAAGAAATATTTGGAGATGAATCTTCAATTTCACCAACGTTCTCAATTCTTGATAAGAACGAAACATCAATTTCACAAGAAAATGAAGGCGAATTAACACATAATGAAGAAAATGAAGAAGGAGAATCAACACTTATCGATGATGTAAATGAAGAGAATGATCAAGAACAAGATTCCATAACGACTGATAATGAAAAATTGATAACGAATGATGATAATAGTATAAATGAAATATCAAAAATAACTAAAACTAGGATGATTTTAAGAAAACGTATTAGAAAACAAAATGAAATTAATGATAATAATAATAATAATAATAATAAGGAAAATAACAAATTATCAAATAGAACTTCGAGAACCTTAAGAAGTTCGGTAAAACGAGATAGAAAGCAAACTGAAATTGATGATGATGATAAAGAGAATTCATCATCATCATCATCATCATCACCATTATCATCACCAAGAACTCAAAGAACTTTAAAAACTTTAAAGATTTCAAGAACTTCAAAAACTTCATCCAGAAAACGTGCCAAAAAACAAATCAATGAAGAAGAAAATTCATCATCAATTTCTGAAACCATAGAAAAAGCCAAACTTCTTGTGGGAAATATGTCAACTGAAAAGATCATGAAACAAATTCAAGATAATAAACGAGGTTATAAAAAATTGATAGGATGTTTAAAAGAAATAGTTGAACTCGTGGAATAAAAATAATAAAAATAATAAAAATAGAATAAAAATTTTTTTATAGAAATTTATGTAGTAATTTATAAAAATAAAAAAAAAATAAAAAAAAAGACAATGACAATTTTTTTAATAAATAATAATAAATAAAAATAATAATGATAATTATGATGATTATATTACATGCATGGGAATTTGTACTCAATTTGTTTTTCAAATTTTTCAAATGCTAATAAATAAAAAAAAAAATCTATAATTAAATATTTAATATGAATTATAATCAAATAACTAAATGAAATGTTTTTAATGTTTTTCTAAATTTACATAATTTAAAAAGCAAGAAATCAATCAGGAAAATTTATAAACCGGATCAATTCTTGTTCTTGATTAAATCGAATTTAATTTTTTATAAATTTAGTAAAATAATTAAATAATTAATAAACTAAATAAAATAATTAAAGTTAATTATAGAACAGGATAAATTCCCGCATTCTAAGATTTTAACCTTTTTGAAACCAAATAATAAATAATTCCCGTTGATTCGTTACTAATATAATTAATTAGAATAATTAGAATATTTATAATGAACATTATTATATTTATTTATTGATATGTATGAATTACCATTAGGAATTACATTATTATATTATATATATATTATAAACCGACTATTGTCCTTACAATTAGATTCCCTCCTTTATACAATAATTTATTCATTATACACACACATTTATACATATTACACATGTATACATTTGTTATTCCTCACCTTATTATAACCTTTCAAAAGTCGTTTTTTTTATGTCGTGTCACGGAGACTATAATATGTACCCGATTTTATTTTTTGGGTTTTACTTTAAGGGGAAAAGATGTTTTCTGTATTTTTCTGGAAAAATCGTCATCTGACAAGATAATAATAATTATTTAATTAATATTTTTTTTTTTTTTTTTTTTTACAAATTTTTTTAAAATTGTAATATTTCAAAAAAAAAAAATAAAGTAATATTCCTTATATATATTTATATTTCTATATTCCAATATTACCATATTATATATATATATATATATATAATTCAATTCAATTTAATTTATTTGTTAAATTTATTTTCATATTTGATATATAGTATAAAGTGATTTTTGATTGAAATATTGATATAATACATTATATCAAAAAGATTATCAAATGCCACTGGAGAACGCTGGAAAGTTTGAAACCCGACCCAACGTAATAATATATGGTGGAAATCGACTTAACTTTCTTTCTTCCTGGTTCTTCATTTGGGTATTTCGTATGTTGAAAATATCCAGAAGTCATAATTTGGGAGAAGAAAATTTGACCTTACAAGATTCGGAAAAAGCTAAAGTCGTTGGAGATAAATTGGAAAATAATTGGAAGTTGGAATGTACTAAAAAAAAGAGGTAATTTCTTTATTATAATTTTTTGATTGATTGATTAATTGATTGATTGATATGATAGATATGATTAGAAAAAAAAAATTCTAATTATATTAATTATATTAATTATATTAATTATATTAATTATGTATTAATTATATCATAATTTTTTTCCTATATTTTAATCATATCAACATCACACTATTAAATATGATCAAATCAAAATATTAATCACCAATTAATAATTAATTAATGATTTTCAATTAGCAAACCATCAATTTTTCAAGCACTTTTAAAATCATTTGGTACATCATATGCACTTTTAGGAATTTACAAACTAATTGGATCAATATTTTTATTTTTCGGTTCTTATTATCTTATAAATCAATTGATAAAATTTATTGAATTAAATAGTAATCATAATAATAGTAATAATAACAACAACAACAACAACAACAACAATAATAATAATAATAATAATAATGGGGATATTTCTGGTCATATGTATGCAGTGAGTTTATTCATTTGCGTTTTAATGAGTAGCATATTTTTCAGTCAAGTGATTTCAGAATCTACTAGAATTGGAGTGCAGGTAATTTGGGTTATTATTATATTTATATATAGAATTTGATTATATATATATATAATAATAATAATAGATAATATATTATTATATTATTGAAATGAATATTTAATATGTAATTAGGTTCGAGCTGCATTGATGGTTTTGATTTATCGAAAATCTTTACGATTAAGTTCAGTGGGTGGAAATATTGGAAATATTGGTATGTTATTTCTTTTATATTTTATTTCTATATTTATATTTTTTTTTTTTATATCTAAATTTTTTTATTTATACATTTTTTATTTTTGTGAATATATATATATATTGAATTGAATTAATTAATCATTTTAGTAAATTTAATATCAAATGACTGTAATAGGTAATATTTATAATTTTTGATCTTTTTTTATTACTTTTATTGCATATGTTGTTCATTATTTAATATTTCTTGCTTGATTCACAAATAATTTAGAATAGCTGAAGCTTGTGTTAATTTTCATTTCTTATGGAGTTCTGCAGTGGAAATAATAGGTTTGTCCTAAATATCTATTTTATTCTATCTGTTTTTGTTTCTATTTTATATATATGTGTATAGATATAATATATATCTTATCTAATATATTTATTTGTCTAATAATAAGAATAATAACAAAAATAATAAAAATTTAAAAATTTAAAAATTTAATAATTTAATTATATTATTTGATATTATTATTGGATAGCTATGATTATTTTAGCTTGGGTACAATTAGGTTATGCTGCATTACCAGGTAATTTTTATTATTTATTCTAACTTATTATTATTATTATTATTATTATTATTATTATTATTATTATTATACTGTATTTATTTATCTTATATTAATTCACAATATTATTATATCATTCATATTTATTAATTATGTGATATATTACGTTATTTACATTATTTCATTATCTAATATAATTATAGCATTAACTATACTTCTTGTTTTATTCCCAATTCAATATAAACTTGGTAATATTACTGCCAAGATGTCAAATTCAACTACCAATGTTACATCCTCACGTATACATTTGATGTCCGAAATTCTTACCGCAATTAAATTAATTAAATTTTATGCTTGGGAATCATATTATCGTGATCGAGTTAAGAAGGTGAGACGTAAAGAGTGGTTCCTATTTTTAAATAGTATTGTAGTCAAAATTTGGACTTTTTGTGTGATATTTGGTGCTCCAGTTTTAGCGATGTTGGGTTGTCTTTGTGTCAAATTATTAGCATATCCTTCACCTGATAATGTATTAGATGCTAGTACTATCTTTACTGTTTTGGCTTTGTTTTATACTGTTAGGTAAGGTAATAATTGATACTTTGTTGTATGTAATTAATATTTATTTATTATAAATATATTCATAATATATAATTGAATAATTAATTAATATATATATATATATATTCACAATATATCAGATATCCACTTATTATGTTGCCTATCGCGGTAAGAGCAACTTTAGGCGCATTGGACTCTTTTAAACGATTAGATACATTTTTAATGACCAATGAATTGGAACCTATTAAACAAGATGATGAACCAATAAATGGGGATCCAAATTTAAGAATTTATATTAACGATGCCGATTTTATTTATGAAGGAGCTGTTAATCCTACTTTAAAATTTTTAAATATGAAAGTGAAACAAGGTGAATGTTTTGCCATAGTAGGTGATGTGGGGGCCGGAAAATCTTCCATCTTGGCTGCAATCATTGGTCAATTACGTAAAGAGAATGGGATTAGAAAAATTCGGGGATCAATTTCTTATGTCCCTCATGATGCTTGGTTATTAAATGCTACCTTAAGGGATAATATTTTATTTGGAAATGATTTTGATGCCAAACGTTATTCTGACGTTTTACACGTTTGCGCTCTGAATCGTGATTTAAGTTTATTAAGTTATAGTGATGCAACTGAAATTGGTGATCGGGGTGTTAATTTAAGTCTCGGTCAAAGGCAAAGAGTAAGTTTAGCCAGAGCCGTTTACTCCGATGCTGATATTGTATTATTGGATGATCCTTTAAGGTATTGTATTTATTTGTATTTATTTGTATTTATTGTATTTATTGTATTTATTGTTTATACTTATTTTTGTATTATATTTTTATTTTAAATTTTTTTTTTTTTTAAAAAAAAAAGTGTTATGGATCCTATAGTGGGAAAACATATATTTAATGAGTGTATTCGAAAATATCTCAAGGTAAAAAAATATTTAATATTATTAATAAATTAAAAATCATTAATAAAATGAAAAATTATTAATCTTTAATATTTGATATATATTTTAACACACACATATATATATTTCATATAGAATAAAGCTATTATATTTGTTACCAATCAATTACAGGCATGTTTAATCTATACAATGATCTTATAAGAATAACAATAAATCATACATTTTATCATTATTGATTTCTATATTAAAATAGTTTCTTTCGGAATGTGACCGTATAATGGTAATGAAAGGCGGAGAATGTACAGATGAAGGAACTTATGATGAATTAATTAAAAAAGATGTGAATTTGGCTTCATTAATTGGGGAATATATAGAGATTGAAGATCCCGATCAAATTGATGAATTGATTAATGAAATTCAATTGAATCCAGTGGGAGATGATGAATTTAATTATGAAGATGAAAATGATTTTGAAATTGATAATAATGATATTGAATTAAATGATATTGTTATTATGGATAATAATAATCAAAAAGGTTCTAATACTATTCATTTTACCAACGACGATTATAATCATCATAATAATAGCACAAACGAAGATGCTGACGGATATACAATTAATCGTATAATTGAACAAAATGCTCATACCATTCAAAACACTAATATTAATGAACTTACAATTTCTAAATTAATTGAACGTAATCAACTTTCGGTTTTGGGGGGAGCTGGTAAAAATAGAGTGATGGGTCAAAAAATTAATCGAGAACTTAATGCTACGGCTAGAGCGGTTGAAAGGAATCAACTCACAATTCATAGTTTACAAGGAAATGATGGAATCAATTTCATTGATTCACCAACCGTCAAACGAAAAGATTCCAAAGTTAAATTTCAAGTTTATCTGGATTACTTTAGAAAATCGACTGGAATGACTATTACTTTTTTGACAATTTTATCATTTATTTTAATTGCTATTACGAAAATTGTTAGCGGTATTTATTTTTTATTCTTTATTATTTTTTTATTATTTATTTTTTATTATTTATTTTTTATTTTTTATTCTTTTATTCTTTATTCTTTATTCTTTATTATTTTTCTATTACTTTTTTTATCATTGATTTTTATTATTAATTTTTATTATGATTATTTACTTCAATTACTTACTGCAATTTTTCCTTTTCTTTTTTTAAATAGATTGGTGGTTAACTAAATTAGTAGGAACAAATGAAAATTCTAATTATGGTGTCCTTCTTGGTGTATATGGAGCTCTAGTGGTGTGTGACTTTTGAAAACAACTGAGATAACCATTTTTTTTTAAAAAAAAAAATTAGAATCATTAATTATTGTTATATTTTATATAATAGGGTACAATTCTTATTGGCGTTTTCTTACGAGGTGCATTTTTCGCTTGGGTGGTTATGCGTAAGAGTCAATCATTACACAACCGGACATTCTTTGTAGGCCTTTTTTTTTTAAAAAAAAAAAAAATTTAAATTTGATATTTTTATTTTGATGACTACAAGCAAAAACAACAACAATAATAATAATATTGATTATAATTATTTATTATATTAGAAAATAATGCGTGCTCCTATGTCATATTTTGACGTTACTCCTCTAGGAAAGATTTTAAATGTATTCGCCAAACATCAATATCTTGTTGATGATGTTTTAAATGAAAATGCTTTACAGGTTTTTTTTTTTAAATTGTTATTTTCTTTATTTTATCTCGTTATTCTTTTTTTTTTTTTTTTGGTAGTAATATTAATAACAGTAATAATTTTACCATCATTATCATTATTATTATTACTTTATAATAGTTTTTATCCTATGCACCACTTACTATTGGTACAACTATATTTGTTATAATACTCGTCCCTTGGACAGCCATATCAGCTGTTGTGTTAATCGCTATAATTTGGGTTATTATTCATTATTCGAAAGGAGTGGAAAAAAGGTTTAAAGCTTTAGATGGTAAGTTTGGTTGGAAATTATTATTATATTTAATTATAAAAATATTTTGCATTACATTAATATTTATTAAATTAGAATTAATCAACTTTGTTTAATAGCTGATAGTAAAGCACCAATTTTTGCTCATTTATCCGCTTCACTTGAAGGATTGGCTAATATTTGCGTTTATAAAGCACAACCGAGATTTGATTCTTTAAATCTTGAAAAAATTGATGTTAATAATAAAGTATTATTTGCTATGATGCAAGGTAATACGATTAAATTATTTATTAATTATTTATTAATTATTATTAAATTAATTATTATTAAATTAATTATTATTAAATTATTATTATTCATATTCATCATTCACAATATTTTAATAATAATAAAAACAATAATAATAATAATAATAATAATAATAATAATAATAATAATAATAATAATAATAATAAAACTTTATAAGAGTAATATACTAAAAAATAAAATTGCAATATATATTAATACATTTCTATACATTATAATAATAATATAGTTAAAGCCTGGCAATCATTATACATTGATATAATAGCATCCATCTTTATTTATACCACTGCTTTATTCGTCGTTGTTTTTCATAACAAAAATAATATTAGTCCTTCTATAGCAGGTTTGGCTGTAGCTAGTGCTTTACAATTATTAATTTTTGGTCAATGGACAATTCGATCGGGACGTGACGTGGCTGCTATTATGGGAAGTGTTCAACAATTATTGTATTTCCGTAAAAATATTCCATCCGAGGTAATTTTTTCTTATTTTATTATTTTTTTTTTATATATTTATATTTTATATTTTATTATTTTGTTTCCCTGCCGTAGAATCATATATTAATGAAATTATATATTAAATAAATAAATTATATGTAGGCACCTAATATTATTGAATCAAATAGACCTCCACAAAATTGGGGTGAACGTGGCGAGGTATTTTATTGTTTTATTAAATTCTATTCGTTTTATTTATTCTCTTTTTTTTTTCTATTTCACACTCACTAATATACAAACAATAAACAAAATAAAAATAAAAATAGATTGAATTCAAACGTGTCATTCTAAGATATAATCTTTACGGTGTAGCAGTTCTAAAAAGTGTTTCTTTCCATGTTTTACCTCGAGAAAAAATTGGAATTGTAGGAAAGACAGGATCTGGTAAGTCAATCAACTAAAATTCATATCATTGATATCATTGTTTATTATAAACATTAAAATATTTTTATTTTTTTTCATAGGAAAATCGACTTTACTCGTAAGTTTATTGAGAATTGTCGAATTATCTGAAGGTCAAATTTTGATCGATAATCTGGATACTAGTACTATTGGATTACGTGACCTAAGAAACAAAATTGCCATAATTCCTCAAGGTAAAAGGAATGTTTAAATAACTTATTTATATATTATATATATTAGATATATATTATATTGTCATTTATATCTCTTGTTTATCTCGTTTCTTTTTTTTTACTCTAAATATTAATACATTTTCTCTCTCCATATAAATATTATATATATATATATTATATAAATATATATTTAAAAATATTAGAACCCGTAATATTTGTTGGAACTATTCGATCAAATCTTGATCCATTTAAAATATGCACAGATGAAGAAATTTGGGATGCACTTAAAGCGGTACATTTAGGTGAAAAAGTGAAATCAATGCCCGATAAATTAGTTACTCAAGTTTTAGAGAATGGCAAAAATTTTTCATTGGGACAAAGACAATTATTTTGTATAGCGAGAGCACTTTTAAAGAAAACAAATATTTTGGTTTTAGATGAAGCGACCAGTGCGGTTGATCCCCAAACTGATTTATTAATTCAGGATACTATCAAAAAAGTTTTTAGAGATCATACAATATTAACGATTGTTCATCGATTGGTATTTATCATTTTATTTTTATTTTATTAATGATTATTTATTTTTTCTTTTTCTTTTAAAAAAAAAATTTAATATTAAAATATTTAAATAATTTTTATAATTTTTCTAATTTCTTTCTTTAATTTCTTTTCACATATAAAGAACACAATCATGGAAGCGGATCGAATATTATGTTTGGATGAAGGGCGAGTAGTAGAATTTAATACACCCACAAATTTATTAAATAACCCTGATGGATTTTTTTGCAAATTAGTTTCTCGGAGTGGACCAGATGCCGCAGAAAGACTTAGAAGTCTTATATCTCTACATCATAAAGATAAAAATAAGGAATTCAGTAGTATTAAGAGTTATAATGATTTTAATTTCAATAATAATGATGATGATAAATCTATCATTGACAAAAATAATAATAATAATTATAATAATAATGATAATAATAACAATAATAATATGATGAAAAATAAAAGTAATTTAGATAATTTAAACATTTCATTTAATAAATCACCATCATCATCACCATCATCATCACCATCAATTATTAAAGATGATGAAACAATAACAAATACCGCAGTAACTCCTCCACCTACTCCAATTAGTCCTTATCCAAATATGCCACCATCATTAGGTGATGTATTTCTAAGACTTCCAACGTCATCTCCTTCTTCAAAATCAAATCCTTCATCTTCAAATACGAATTTACCTCCTTCAAATAATCCTAATCCATCATCATCATCATCATCAAATCCTAATCCATCAACAACTACAACAACCACAACTACAACAACTACAAATACTACATCATCATTAAATCAATCCTGAAAATTTATACCTACAATTTATTATAAAGTATATTTGTTATATAGTCTATTATTCTTATTATAAAGCCTATAAAGTTGGGATTCTTTTGTAATAATAAAAAAAAAAAAAAAAAGTGATTATATTAAAAGACAAAAAAAAAGGGGAAGGATAAAAAATGGATGGATAAAAAGGGGTGTAAATGATTTTTTGTATTTTCCATTATGAAAAATATTTATGTACATTATTATTATTATTATAATAATATTTATATACATAATTATATTTTTTGTTAATGTTGCGTTATAAATATATTTATATATATTCGTTCATGTCATGTATCAGATATATTTATTTATTTTTATATCAATAAAAATGTTGTTCATTATATTATTTATACAAATTCTATTATTTAATTTTATTATTATTAAGTTATTATATATAATATGAGTGATTTATTTACTACATAATAATGACTTATTACAGTATAATTATCTTTGCATTATTATATTATAACTGATTCTATCTATCTAATTGTTAATATCATTTCTTATTTGATTTATTGTTACTGTTATTATTTACAGAAAGGTAAGATAAAATCAATATTCAAAAAAAACTAACGTAAATTCTATATCTGATCAGATATGTTTGAAGTTACATGGTTCAATTCATAAAATATATAAAATATTATATTATAATACCTACTTACTTTAAGGATTGTATTATATATATATAAAAGATTATGAACCTGAAGTTGTTTTTTTTTTAAAAAAAAAAAACTACTATGTAAAGAAATAAATATTATATAATTGTAAATCGATATCCGTTTTTCCTCTCATCTATAAGTCTATCAATTTTTAACCAAATATTTAAATATTTTAATATAAACTCAAAGTTTTATAATTTTCACCTATAATAGGAGTAATCCATAATTACATATGAAATCTTCTTTTCTTCTAAAATAAAGTTTATCAATTTTTAACCATATCAATTGAAATTTTTATTAAAAGAACTTTGAGATTGAGTCTTTTTAGTCAATTTACAAAATTAATAAAAGTGTATTTTTATTTTTCGCTTAATAAAAAGTATTAGATAAATTTATATAAATATACAGTAGATTAAAGTAAAAAAAAATATACATAATATTTCTTATTTTAGATTTTCTTTTTTTTAAAGTTAAATAATTTTAAAATTTCAAATTTACTTAATCAAATTAAAATAATAAAGAGTATTTAATAAAAATATTATTTCTCGTTATTCAACTTACACAGATATATCTTATTTATCAATATCAATAGATTATTTCTTCTAATAAGTTTTTGGCATTTTTACTCCCATTTTCCTTTGCTTCATTTAACCAATATATAGCTTTTATAATATCTTGCTTCATTTCATATCCTTCATAAAAATATTATCCAACTATATATTGGGCATCCGTATAACCATCTGGTGCAGACTTTTTAAACCATTTAAATTCATTTACTGTACTTGATCTATATAATATCCTAAATTTTACTGTGCTAAAGAATCTTCATTTTCAGCGATTGAATACCATTTAAATACTTCTTTTACATCTTTTCACATACCCATACCCATACCATAGCTATAAAAATAGCCAATATTACACATTGCCTAAATATTTCCAGCAAATGCTGATTTTATATACCATTGAAATCCTTTAGCTTCATCTTTTAATATTCCTTTTTCATACATATAACAACGACCAACATTATATTGTGCTATCAGATCTCCTTTCTTGGCGGATTCCAAATGTAATTCAAATGCCTTTCTTTCATTTTTTCAACCCAAATCCTGTTTCATAGCAAGTTTCTACATTATTTAAAGCCGTAAGGGATCCTTCATTAGCAACTTTAGAAAAAATTTAAAATACCTTTTTTTCTATCCTTTTCAACATCTGGACCATCTAAATACAAACTTGCAAGATACATCAATCCTATTTATTTGGTAATGTCCCATATAGATGATGATGAATTGGCAAATGAAGTATTTTCATATCAATTATTTCATTAGCAGCCAAACTAAAGAATTCGAGTGCCATTTCGTAATCAATAACAGTCCCAATATCATACATATAAAAAATCCTATTAAGCTAGTAAACCAATAATAAGATAGATGCCTGATTATTTCATATATAAAACTTTAACTGGATTCTTCTTACATTCTTTAATATATTTTTTGATCATAATTGATTGCATTTTCGAAGTTTTTTTTTGTATAAATCAATGAAAAATTCAAATAAATCATTAATAGATTTATTAATTCTAGTAGAAACATCGATAAAAGAGGATTAATTCGAACTTCTGGATCATCAAGTTGTCTTAATAAATGTTTTAGGGATTTAAAAATATTTAAAATACATAAATATAAAATAATGCGACTCATTTATCCAGTTCAATAGAAATAACTTCATCTGTGACATTATGAGAATCTGACTAAGTTTCGAATTCAACAACATTTGCATCAGAGATAATGATTTTAGAAAGTTTTTAACTACTTAAGAAATGTCTGGTCTCGAATTTCCGTCGTGCTTCCAACAATCTGGTAATAAATTCAGTTTATAAGTTGATTTATTATTATTAATTGTTGTAAATTTGTACCGGTATATATTTCTTTGTATTTAGAAAGTGTCTCAAGTGTAATCATTTCTCTTTCACCTTCACAATGTTATTTAACAGATCGATATTTGATGAGGAATTTATTTCAAAAGGAGTTTTCCACCAGAAATCTCCCAAAGAATAATTTCCAAACTAAAGATATCCGAACATTTGTTTTTTCCAATTATGATAAAAATTTCCAATCAATATAATGAATTGGATCAAGAATATTTATAAGGAATTTTAATGATTCAAATGAATATTTAGCCATCCCAAAGTTATTTAATTTAATATTTTCTTTATGAACAATAATATTTTCAAAGTTCAAATCAAAATCATAAAATAAATAAAAATAAAATCGTTCATATTCACTTGTGAAAATTTATTTTTAATTGATAATAATCAAATTATTATTACCAATTTTCTATGAATAATATCATTGGAATGTAGATGCATCAAAGCACTTGCAATTTTTTTTTCAAGATTTAATTTTGTATTCCAATCCATTTTTTGGAAATTTGTTTTCGGATATTGACGAAGTGATCATATAATTATTGGTATTCACTATAAAATAAATAAAATTAATTGTTAATTGTACTTATTAAGTACGTACGTACCATTAAATATTTATATTTTTACCTTGCTTAGTGATACCATAGAACCTAAGAATGCTATATTCAATTAAAATAAATATAGTAAAAAGCCTTTTAAATAATATTTAAATTTAACTACTCATACTCATTTATAAAATTGTTCAATGCAAATTTATCATGTAAAGAAATGTATTTAAGAGCAATCGTTTTTTGAGAAATTTTATGAGTGGCTTTATAAACATTCTCACCACCACCAATTAATTTTAAATTTTCAAATTCAGAATAATGATAAAATGGGATATTCTCTTTTTTCAAAGTATCTTCAATAATCAAATAATCATCCAAGTTTTTTTCTGAGACATGATTACAAATTACTAACTGTTATTTTTCATTGATAAATGACTGGTCAAAATAATTAAACTATTTTATAGTAAAAAAAAAAATTTTTATTTTAGTGATCTTTTTATTTTAGTGATCTTTTACAAGTAATAGAAAAAAAATACGTGTATATATGTTTTTTGTTATATTAAATATATAAAAATACAAATATATTTTTTCTATTTTCTACCCTTATTTCGCAACTGATTTTTTTTTTAAAACAAAAATTTTTCACATACATTATTCAAGAACCACCCTTAAAAACATAATCTTCATCTTTTCAATGCCTAATTTTCTTAAATGAAAAAAATAATCGTGAATTGCGAACAAAAGTTATAAAAGCCAGATAGATGCATACTTCAAAACTGTTGTTTTCGTGACAACCTATTTCAATAAAGAAATTATTTGTTTTGGTATGAATTAGAAATAAATTTATTTCATCTGATATAATATACCAGGAACAGGGAAAAGGTAAAGAAAAAGAAGGAAAAAGAAATTGTAAAGTTGCTAAAGCTAAAATTGTTAAAATCACTTTTATTGAAAAGAACAGAAGATAAAAGTGGGAAAAAGATATGAAAAAAGAAATACATATTTATAAGAGTTTAAAACAATTATCTTGAATCATGATATCCATTTAGAATTTATTTTGTGCTTAAAAGTTATCTCATATATGAAAGAAGCTGACAAATTATATTCATTATTCTTAATTACTTTAAATTATTTTTTTTTTTCAAATAAGAAATTAGAAATATAAAGAATAACTTATAACGGTACTTTATCAGTGCTTTATTAATGATTCAAATAATAACTTTTATACAATGTCATAATCCGAATAACAAAGAGTACTAAGTATAATATTTTCTTATTATTCTAACCTATTACTATCAAAAATATATAGCTTATTTACCTATTGATTATTTCTTCTAATAAGCTATTGGATGTTGTACACCCATTTTCATGAGCTTTATTTAACCAGTGTACGGCTTTTATAATATCCTTCTTAGTTTCATGTCCTTCATGAAAGTATTTTCCAACTAAATATTGGGCATTAGTATAACCATTTACGGCTGCTTTTTTAAACCATTCAAATGATTTCGCTTGATTCTCAACAATTCCATTATCAGTTGCATAACATCCTAAATTATACTGTGCTAAAGAATATTCTTTTTCAGCGGCGATCAAATACCATTTAAATGCTTCTTTTACATCTTTATCTACACCAGTACCATAGTCATAACAATGGCCGGTATTACACATTGCCCAAATGTTTCCGGCAAGTGCAGATTTCATATACCATTCAAATCCTTTAGTTTCATCCTTTAATATTCCTTTCCCATTCATATAACAATAACCAACATTATATTGTGCTACAAGATATCCACCTTCAGCAGATTTCAAATATAATTTAAATGCCGTTTCGTCATTTTTTTCAACGCCAAACCCATTACCATAACTATACGCTATTTTATTTAAAGCTATAAGGGATCCTTCATCAGCAACTTTAGAACAAATCTGAAATGCTTTTTTCATATCCTTTTCAACACCTTGACCATCTAAATATAAATTTGCGAGATAGATAAATCCTATTTCTTTGTTAATTTCGTACAGTTTCCTTGGTGATGGGTTAGCGAATGAGTTATTTTTCATATCAGTTTTTTTATTAGAAGCAGCCAAACTAAAGAATTCAAATGCCATTTTGTAATCAATAATAGTCCCAATACCATACATGTAAAAAAATCCTATTAAGCTAGTAAACCAATAATAAGATGGATGTCTAGTCATTTCATATAGAAGTTTAACTGGATTTTTGTTGCGTTCTCTAATATAATTTTTAATCATAATTGGTTGCATTTTCGAAGTTTGTTCGTTGTATAAATCAATGAAAAATTCAAATAAATCATTAATAGACTTATTAATTCCAGCAGAGACATCGATAAAAGAAGGATCAGTTTTAACTTCTAGATCATCACTTTGTCTTAATAAATAAATTTTAATTTAATAAATGTTTTAAGGATTCAAAAATATATAAAATATATAAAATATAAATAATGCGACTTACTTATCCAATTCGATAGAAATAACTTTATCTGTAACATTATGAGAATCTGACTGAGAAGTTTCAAATCCAACATTTACATCGGAAGTAATGATTTTCGAAAGATTTTCAACTACTTGAGAAATATCTGGTCGCAAATTTCTATTGTGATTCCAGCAATCTATTAAATAAATTCAATTTATGTAAATAATTTATTATTTATTACGTAATTATTTTTAATAAATGGTTATAAATTTTTACCAGTATATATTTCCATGTATTTAGAAGGTGTTCCAGGTATAATCATTTCTCTTTCGCCTTTCACAATGTTATTTAACAAACCAATGATTGATGAAGGATCCATTTCGGAAGGAGGTTTACCACTAGAAATTTCCCAAAGAATAATTCCCAAACTAAAAATATCCGAACACTTATTTTTTCCAGTTATGTTAAAAAGTTCCGAATATTGAGGATCAATTGGACCAAGAATATTTGTAAGGAATTTTAATTTTAATGATTCAGATGCAAGTTTAGCCATCTCAAAGTCATTTGATTTAATATTTTCATTTTGAACAACAAGAATATTTTTAGAGTTCTAATCAAATAATAAAATAATTATGATTCATTTATATTCATGTGAAATTTATTTTAAATAAGAATAATCAAATTATTACCAATTTTCCATGAATAATCTCATTGGAATGTAGATTCATCAAAGCATTTGTAATTTGTTTCGCAAGATTTAATTTGGTATTCCAATTCATTTTTTGAAAATTTGTTATTAGATATTGACGAAGCGTACCATTAGTAGCATGTTCAAGAATGATCATATAATTATTTGTATTCTCTATAAAATAAAATAAATTAATTGTTAATTGTACTTATTAAATACGTACGTACCATCAAATATGTCTATTTTTTTTTACCTTGCTTAGTAATACCATAGAATCTAAGAACGTTATCATGAATTTCTAATTTTCGATGTCTTTTTACCTATTCAATTAAATACGGTAAAAGAAGAAAAATATTAAAAAACAAATTCAAATAATAGAATAAATAATTTAATTTAACTCACTTCATTTATAAAATTGTTCAATGTAAGTTTATCATGTAAAGAAACGCATTTAAGAGAAATAGTTTTGTGAAAAATTTTAAAAGTGGCTTCATAAGAATTTCTATCAATTAATTTTACATTCTCAAATTCAGAATAATGATAAAATGGGATAGTTTCTTTTTGAAAAGTATCTTTAATAATCATATTGTCTATCCAGGTCTCAAATTCTTCTCGAGACATGATTAAATCTTAATTTTTTATTAAATGCTAGGTTATTTAATTGGTAAATCAATTTATGCATATACGTAGCACACATTTGATAATAATTACTATTTTAAATCCCCATTTTAAGAGAACTATGCAAAAAAATTAATTTTTATTGGTTTTTTAGGAAATACAAAAAAAAATTTTACAATACGCGTTTTACAATATTAAATTTTAAATATATTGTTGGATTATGAGCAACTTTTTTTTTTTGATTAGATGGTATGATATTATATTCACGAGGATCAGTAAAAAAGGGATTTTTTTAGAACATAAGGAAGTAAATAGATTTACATACAAATTTAAGAGATTCGTCACCTCTAGATTAGGTTCCAATGTCTAATTATTTAAATAGATATAAAAAATTCAGTGTGAGCGAAGGTTATAAAACAGAGATAAATGCATAGATTTGAACTAGAATTTTTATCTCTTACGGTATAAAATATTATCATGCTCTTTTTCCTAGATCTGTTGTATAAATTTAAATAATTATGAGTTTTGCATTATAGTGATATTCCTTTAAAAACGTTTCTCATATATGAAAGAAGGTGGTAAATTATTTATATTATTTTTTCTTAATTATTTCATACATTTTTAATTTAAAATTCAATAAATAATTTATTTTAAAAGAATGCAATCAATAATAACTTATAATGGTCTTTATTAATGAAATAAATTAATATATTGTAATAAAAATAAATATTTATTCTTATTATTCTAACTTACTACTTTCACACACATAACTTATTCATCATCAATACTTGTCACAACAATCGACAACAATGGTAACTTCTCCATCACTGTTGTTGTTCTTCCAGTCGAAACCTATTGATTATTTCTGCTAATAAGTTACCAGCAAAAGTACTCCCATTTTCCTTTGCTTTATTTAACCAGTGTATGGCCTTTATAATATCCTTCTTCGTTCGATATCCTTCATAAAAGTATCTTCCAACTATATATTGGGCATACGTATAACCATTTACTGCAGCTTTTTTAAACCATTCAAATGGTTTTAATTGATTCGCAACAATTCCGTAACATCCTAAATTATATTGTGCAATAGAATGTCCATTTTCAGCAGCCTTCAAATACCATGTAAATGCTTTTTTTATATCTTTACTTACACCTCCACCGAGTTTATAACAATAGCCAGTATTACACATTGCCAGAATGTTTCCAGCAAGTGCAGATTTTATATACCATTTAAATCCTTTAGCTTCATTTTTTAATACTCCTTTTCCATTTGCATAAAAAAAACCAACATTATATTGTGCTACAAGATATCCTTCTTCAGCTAATTGTAAATATAATTTAAATGCTATTTCTTCATTTTTTTCAACGCCAAACCCAGTGGCATAACTGTACGCTATTTTACCTAAAGCTATAAGGGACCCTTCACAAGCAACTTTAGAATAAATCTGAAACGCCTTTTTCATATCCTTTTCAACACCTTGACCATCTAAATATAAATTTGCAAGATAGATGAATCCTATTTCTTTGTTAATTTTGTATAGTTTCTTTGTTGGTGGTTGGTTGGCGAATGAGATATTTTTCGTATCAGTTATTTCATTAGCAGCCAAACTAAAGAATTCAAAAGCCATTTTGTAATCAATAACAGTCCCAATACCATGCAGGTAAAAAAACCCTATTAAGCTAGTAAACCAATAATAAGATGAATATTTGATCATTTCATATAGAACTTTAACTGGATTTTTGTTGCATTCTCTAATATAATTTTTGATCATAATTGGTTGCATTTTCGAAGTTTGTTTTTCGTATAAATCAATGAATAATTCAAATAAATCATTAATATAATCATTAATTCTAGTAGAAACATTGATAAAAGGAGGATCAGTTTGAACTTCTAGAACTTCTAGAACTTCTAGATCATCATGTTGTCTTTATAAATAAAATTTTAATAACTTAATAAATGTTTCAAGAGATTTAAAAATATTTAAAATACGTAAATATAAATAATGCACTTACTTATCCAGTTCGATAGAAATAACTTCATCTGTGACATTATGAGAATCTGACTGAGAAGTTTCAAATTCAATAACATTTGCATCAAAGATAATGATTTTATAAAGATTTTCAACTACTTGAAAAATGTTTGGTCGCGAATTTCCATTGTGATTCCAGCAATCTGTTAAATAAATTCAATTTACAGAACCATTTTATTAGTTACTTCGTAATTATTTTTAATAAATTGTAATAAATTTTTACCAGTATATATTTCCTTGTATTTAGAATTTGTTCCAGATATAATCATTTCTCTTTCGCCTTTCAAAATACTACCTAATAAATCGATATTTGATGAGGAATTCATTTCAGAAGGAGGTTTACCACTAGAAATTTCCCAAAGAATAATTCCCAAACTAAAAATATCCGAACCCTTATTTTTTCCAGTTATGTTAAAAAGTTCCATATATTGAGAATCCATATATTGAATTGGGCCAAGAATATTTATAAGGAAATTTAATGATTCAGGTGCATGATTAGCCATCTTAAAGTAATTTAATTTAATATTTCCATTATGAACAATAACATTTTCAGAGTTCTAATCAAATCATAAAATAAATAAAATTAAAATAATTCATTTGAAAAATATTTTTAAATAAGGGTATTCAAATTATTACCAATTTTCCGTGAATAATCTCATTTGAATGTAGATACAACATAAAAGCATTTGTAATTTGTTTCGCAAGATTTAATTTTGCATTCCAATTCATTTTTTGGAAATTTGTTATCAAATATTGACGAAGGGAACCATTATTTGCATGTTCAAGAATGATCATATAATTATTGGTATTCTCTATGAAATAAAATAAATTTGTTGTTAATTATCTGTACTTATTAAGTACGTACTAAATTTAAATATCGTTTTTTACCTTGCTTAGTAATACCATAGAACCTAAGAATACTATCATGACCTTTAAATTTTCGATGTCTTTTTACCTATTCAATTAAATATATTATAGAAAGAAAAAATATTAAAAGCAAATTCGAATAATAGCAAAAATAATTTAATTTTACTCACTTCATTTATTAAATTGTTTAATGCAAATTTATAACATAAAGAAACGCATTTAAGGACAATAGTTTCTTGAGAGATTTTATAAGTAGCTTTATAAACACTTCCACTAATTAATTTTACATTCTCAAATTCAGAATAATGATAAAATGGGATATTTTCTTTTCGAAAAGTATCTTTAATAATCAAATTGCCCATCCAGGCCTCCCATTCTCTTATAGCTTCATGATCATTTTCTTGAGACATAGACATTCACAAATTATTAACTGGTATGGTTATTAAATTTTTTTTTTTTTTTGGTCGACCAACAAAATTTCGCTAATATGAGACAGAAAAACAGTAACTCGAACATATACAATATGCAGATTTATTTATTAAAGTTATTATAATTTTCCATTTTAGGAAAACAGGTTAGGTTATTAGGCACCTTCATTTCTTTTTTTTAATTAAAAGGATTTACAGTTTTTTTGAGAAATTTTAAAATAAACATTTTCACCAATTAACTTTACGATGTTTTCTTTGAAAAGCATCTACAATAATCAAATTGTCCCATTATCTTATAGTTTTATGATCAACACCGATAGTAGCTTAATCAACAATGAATACACCAAAAATATTTATTCAAGATACGACGTACATACACTCACCTGCCAGGCATAAATTTTTTTTATATTAAAATTCCCTGATCAAGGACTATATAATAATGACTTTTACAAAAATAATTTAAAATAATTTAAAGTATTAGATATTTAACTAAAAAGATTAACGGAAAAGAAAATACGACTAATTATGAAATCGTGATATATGTACATACTTTCTATTACCTGGCTATATTTATTTAAGATATTTAATAAATAGTTAAATACTTTCAGTTTTTGCTTTTTTGATTGATTTAAAACCGTTAACACTTTTAAACATTTATTTAATATTGTTTTTTTTTAATCCTTCCAAAAAATAAATAATATTTTATATCATTTTATATCATTTTTTTGTAATAGAAGTTTTCAGAAATACCATAAAAATATTAATCTATTTCTCATATTCTATTAATATTTATTTAACTTATATTATATTCTATTGAATTCATATCATATTCTATTCACGTTTTATTCATAACTTCAATATTATAGTGTCAATTAAATAAGGATGATGATAACAATAGTCATTCGCAACATTCACAATCACATCACATTTATCATTATTTACTTCTACTCGATCAAATATTTCTAATATTACAAGAGATTCATCACTACCAACATCAGATCATCCAAGCCATCATCATCCAACAACAGCAAATTTATCAGATTTTGAACAAATTATGAATAGATCAACAACAATGATGATAAAGTGTGATGAGAAGAATACTTGAATTAGTTGTTATCGCACAGTAAAAAGTCACTGATAAAAAAAAATTAGTTTAATGTCAATAGATATGTGTGTGTGATATACAATAAATAAGATCCAATGAATTAAATTATTACAATGAAATCATCAGTTGACATATTGAAGGATATTTTACAAAGTCCTTATGTAATTATGTTGGTGGGGATTGTCACCACTGGGCAAAATTACAATCATCACCAGTGAGCTTTAGAAATACCCCTTATGTTTTATATTATTTTATTATATATTTTAAATATTTAATATAATTAGCTACGTTAAATTTTTATTTAATAATAATTAGTGAATTAACATGTCTTCATTTGTATAATTAAAAATATAATATACATAATATACTGTTAAAAGGTTTAATTTTTTTTATATGTTAAAAAATACGTTTTCTTAATTAATTAATTCTATTGAATTAGCAATAATAATATATTACCATATGATATGACTTTGTAATATTACATATTATTTTTAAGTAAATATTATGTTACATAATTAACTAGAAAGTCAATCTTTTTTGTTTAAATATATAAAACAATAAACAATACAAATAACCTGAAAAATAGAAGCAATCTGCCCAAAAAATTTGTATCAGAGAAACCAGAATCGAGAGAATGATGAATGCTTGAATTTATCTTACTTAGTTATATTTGCAATATTTGATTATCACAGTTTTCATATCAAAATTTTTCATTTATTATAGATATTGATTACATAAATAAATAATAAATCGATATAAATTAAATTATAACCACATATAGATTCATGTAAATTCATTCGAATTTTTTTATTTTTTTAAAAAAAATCTTTAATATTCATTAACTAGGGTGTGTATATTTATAATAAAAAGACATTATTTTGTTAATTATTTATAACCAGTTATAATTTTATATTGTTATTTGTTTTTTATGGAGATTTCTATAAATTTTTTAACTAAAAGAAACAAATTCTATCAAATAATTATAAATTTAAAATATTCAAATAAACTAATATAACTAAAATCATAAATTCCTCCCAAAAATAACCAATCATCATTTCTTCAAAGCCAATATTATCATCATCTACATAGTGGCAGTTTTGGTTATTTTTAATTGGGGAAATTAGAATTCCTGTCAACTATCAATAAAGTATATGATATATTAATTATAAAAAAAATCAAATTCATATAATTCACAATTCTCACTAACCTATAATTTCTGGGATTGTTAGACGAGTATCTTGTAATAATTAAGAAAGGAAAAGAATTATGAAAAGGATTAGTTATACAATTTATATCATTTTTACATTATTTTTTATACTTATTATACTCTACTCAAGATTGAGTATTAAATATATAAGGTCCATTGCTACATCTAAAACTCAAGTGTTGGCAGGAAAGCTATAACCAATGTTTAAAATTTGACTACAAAATTATTAAAATTTGTTATTAAAATAAAACTGGTAAATTCGCTCTCAAGTGAATTGCCATCTAAATAACATATTTGTTAAATTATAGCATATTTTAAATAAAATTTCCATATTAATTTAAAATATTACTTTACCTCATGTAAAAAATCTTCATTTATAATCAAACTTTTTTAATCCGCTTCACGTTGACCATTTCTTTCCATTTTTGATTTGTAATATCCCATCATTAATACCAACCCACATAGCATAATAAATTGTACCAAAACTACCTTTTGCTATTTGGCTAATGTCTTGAAATCTATCATTAGGTATCCATTCTATTACTTTATAATAACGATCATATTTAATTGAGAATCTTGAATAAATTTATCTATTGTGGATTGACCATTCATCCAAATTATTTTTAAAATAACACGGGTTACACCACAAACCATTGAATTTTTATATTCTTGATTACATTCTGGAATTTTCTGTTCGCTTATATTGTGTAAGATAGAAGTATATTATTTTTTTAAAAAAAAAAATATTTATCGATGTAAATTGATATTGATGAGCAGATCAAAACATTAATTTATCCCATTACACGCAAAATTCTATTAAACCTGGCAGAATAAAAAGTAATATAATTTCCCTAGATAGTATTTATATATGCTATTAATTATAATTTATCAATTGAGGTTGTTATTCTACATGAGAAATTTATTAAATAAAAAAATCATAAAATCAAGTTCAGGCAACATCACTAAGTAAACAATTTCTTGTATCATAAAACAAAAATTATCTCAGACCCCAGCACATGATTACATAGCAACCCTAAATATACAAATTGATCTTAAATATGAAAATGTATTCATATGGCGATAATTCATGGGAAAAATCAATTTATATTCATAAATGAAATCTATATAATTCCAGTGATCAAATAAAATAATAGAAATATAAAATATAATAAAATAAACGAATAAATAAAATAATAATAATAACAAGATCAAATCAAATAAAATATAGTATATTTAAATATTTAATTCTAAACCAATTATTCAATTAATTCCTAGTGAATTAAATTTAATCCATTCCTCAGTTTCATTTTTTTCATCTTCAACTATAAATATTTAAATATAATTAGTAAACTTTTTTTAATTAAATAGATCAAAAAAAAAATAATTAAAAAATAAATTTACCAATTATATTATCAGGAATTGAAAAAAATTGCTGTCTTGAATCTAAATAAATAAATTTATTTCTTTCAAAATATACTTATCATGTGTATCATATTCAGGAATCATAGGTTTAGGTAGTTTAGGTATAAGTCTACTTGTTTGATTTATTTGCTACATAAACTTGTTTGTTTACTTGTTTTCTTATTTCACGTTTATCAGAATTATATTTATCAAGTTGAGATTTCAATTCTTTAGCAGTTCGACGATCAAAGGGTTCAAAATTCCAGCATTTTTCCATAATTTCTTTGAGAAATTGAGGAATTTCACATTTAATTTCAGGTTTAAGCCCTTCGCAAATTTCCATTACAAGATTTACATTTTGTGGAATATTATAATATGGTATAATTAGTTAGTACTTCTAACACAACCATACCAAAAGAATAAATGTCAGATGCTTGAGTGTATTCTCCTCTTCTCAATGTCTCAGGCGCCATGTATGAAATTACTCCATAAATATTTTCTGTATCATTTTCTGTGACTGGTTTACGCAGTCCAAAATCAGTAATCAAACATAAATTTAAAGTTTGATTAACTATATTACCAGAATGGAAATCTTTATGCATTAAGCTCATTTCATGAATATTTGTAAGTCCAATTACAATAGTCGATAATATTTCATATTTTATTCTCCAAGTTAATTTTTAAACTTGTTATTTAATAGTTTTTGAAGGCTACCATATGCTGCATATTTCATATTCACTTTTTTGTTGGATTTTTAGTGATTCCATATATTGCAACTGCCTTTTTACCTCGAAACTTAAATTGGTTTTTAATCTAAAATATTTTATTATATTAGAAATAATGAAATTTAAATAATGTTGAATATTTTTTATTATTATTATTTATATATAATAATGAAATTTAAATAATGTGGAATATTTACCTCTTGCAAAAATTTATTTTCTTTGTGAAATTATCAAGACTTTTCAAGCAAACAATCTGTTTTCAAAATCTGTTCCAATTTTTTACTTTATAATTACAAGAACGAATAGGTCTATCAAGCCAGATGGCTTTGTATACTGTACCAAAACCCCCTTTAGCAAGGTATGTAACATTCTCAAGTCTGTCAAATGGAATCCATTCAATAATTTCTTGATGCTTATTTGCCTTTAGCTGTGTTTGTTGAATTAATTTATCAATTTCTCTTTCTTCACTTGTCCCATTTATCAAATTCATTTTGAAATTGTTCAACATTACATGGATGGCACCAATTTTTCCAATATTATTTTGTGACATTTACTACACTTTCTAAAAAATATTATTGTTAGTTAATTAAAGAATTGTTTTATGATATTGAATTAAATTGATTTCAATAATTACGAATCTAAATACTTACGAACTGTAATATAATTTATATTGATTAGTTTATGATTGATTAGAGAATTGTTATATGATATTGAATTAAATTGAAACACTGATTTCATTAATTATGATCTAAATACTCACTGACTGTAATATAATTTATATTGATTTTTTTATAATTGATTAGAGAATTGTTTTATGATATTGAATTAAATTAAATCAAATTGATTTCAATAATTATGAATTTAAAAGCTCACAAGTTGTAATATAATTATATTGATTAGTTTAGAAAAATAATTTAATATCTGTAAATTATTATTGGCAATAAATTATAGTTTAATAGAAGTTTAATATAACAATATGACTACTTTTCCAATTTTTCTGTTCTTCCAGTTTCTTCCATTTCTTCCATTTCTTCCGTTTTTTTAAAATCGAAAAAAAATTGAATTAAATAAATTCCGTTGTACGTGCATTTGTACAACAATAATGATTATTCAATTTGAAGATCTTAATAATTAGGTCAAAATCTTAAAGCAAACATTAAAGAAATTAATGATAGACTTCTGGAATTTATAAAATAGTTTTGCCCATCAAATTTGT